TTTATTATTATCCTCATTATCCTCATTATTACTATTATTATTGTTGTTATTATTATCCTTGTTATTATCATTATCATGATGATTGTTATTATCGTCATTATTATCGTCACTATCATCATTACTATCAATAGTATTATCATTATCATTATTATTGTCATTATTACTATTCTGTTATTATCATCATTATTATTACCATTATCATCATTGTTGTTATTATCATCATCATCATCATTACTATTATTATTATTATTATTATTATTATTATTATTATTATCATTATCTTTATCATTATCATCTCCCTCTCCCTCCCTCCCTCTCTCCCTCTCTCTCTCTCTCTCTCTCTCTCTCTCTCTCTCTCTCTCTCTCTCTCTCTCTCTTCTCTCTCTCTCTCTCTCTCTTCTCTCTCTTCTCTCCTCTCCCTCCTCCCTCCCTCCCTCCCTCCCTCCCCCCTCCCTCCCCCCCCTCTCACCCCCCTCTCTCATCCTCCCTCCCTCCCTCCCTCCCTCTCCCCCCCACCCCTTCTCTCTCCCTCAAAAGCAAATGACCTCTCATTCACATCACTCAATTTCCGTGCTGGCATGACCTCCCGCAGTGTTTTGTTATGCATGACCCTCCGTACAGTGAAGAGAAGAAGAAATACGTATTTGTTTAGTGAAAAATGCTAGCCAGTGATATGAGTTCATCTGTGTATCTCTTTCTCTTTTCGTGTCTCTCTCTCTCTCGTGCTTTCTCCTTTATATTGTTAAAATTACTATTATCATTGTTTGTTGCTGTTGTTTTCAGTTTCTCTTTTTTTATTATTATTATTATTATTATCGTTATATTTATTATTTATTATTTATTATTATTATCATTATTAATACCACCACCAATCATCATATTATTATAATTATTATTATTATTATTATTATTATTATTATTATTATTATATATTATTATTTATTATTATTATTATTATATTATTAATTAATTATCAATTATTATTATCATCATTATTTTATTAATTATTATTATTATTATCATTGTTATTGCTATCTTTAGAATACTATTCGCTTATTATTTCTTATCGATATTAAGTATCATCATCTTCATTATCATATCATTAAAAAAAATGTTATCTTCATTAATAATTTATATTATACTTTATTATCTTCAATATTTGTAAAATTATTTATATTTCATTATTTCAGAATTCTCTTCACTATCATATTTGACTTTATTTCTTATCGGTATTAATATCATATTAATTCATTATCACTATCTTCCCTATCTTCAACTTTCATTAAACGAATCATTACATAATTCACAGGTATAACATCATGTTATATCACAATTTGTTCTCTCATCATCTCATCACTCTCTATCTATCTCTTATTTCTCTCTTCTTTCTATTCACTCACTCTCATCCTATCTCTTCTCTCTCTATCTCTTACTCTCCGATCCTCTCTCTTCTCATGATCTCTCTCTGTCTCCTCTCTCTCAGTCTCTCTCTCTCTCTCGTTCTCTCTATCATCGTCTCTCTCTGTCTCTCCTCTCTCTCTCTCTCTCTCCTCTCCTCTCCTCTCTCTCTCTTTCTCTCTCTCTCTCTCTCTCTCTCTCTCTCTTTCTCTTTCGCTAAACACTAAATTCATGATAATGCTTTCATGATAATTAAGTTTTATTTCTGCTTCTATGTTCATAAATATCTAGTACCCATTTAACCCTTTCCTTATTATTATTTTTTCTGTTTCATTCGGTCTGTTGTTTGAAATTATTATCGAAGCTCTTCCGATCTATTCTTTTTCTATTTCATTCGGTCTGTTTGTTAAAATTATGCGAGGTCCTACCCAATTAATATTCAAATTTAATGCATATACATAGAAGTAAATGTACGTCTGTTTGTTTATCAGACAGATATGCATTTATCTGTCTATCTATCGGGGAGATATGGATGTCTAGACTGATAGATAATGATTCATTTCTGTGTATATGGGTATCTGTATATATGAATTATGATTTTAACAAAGTGGCCAATTTTGTTTCGTTGATATCAGAAAAAGGCTAGTCTGTGAGTTTTAAGTATAAGTTTTTGTTATTTATTGATGCAATAAGTACTTGTATTAGTCCTTTCACTTATAATTGCAATTTATATTCCTTTTATCGTGAAAAAATTACTTGTATTCACTTATAATTGCAATTTAAATTCCTTTTATCGTGAAGAAATTACTTGTATTCACTTATAATTGCAATTTATATTCCTTTTATCGTGAAGAAATTATGTGTATTCGCTTATAATTGCAATCTATATTCCTTTTATCGCAAAGAAATTATTTGTATTCAATTGCAATTGTAATTCATATTCCTGTATTGTAAAGAAATTACTTGTATTTGGGAAGGAAAATAGTAAATTACAAATAAACGAACAAGTTATATGGATTAAGATACTGTATCATAGAAAATCAAGCTAATAAAGATACTGAATAATCTTTTTCCTTCATACTGTTTCATGGTAATACTTCTTTATCATTACGCAATGAAATTTATCTCAAAGTGCCGTGCAATTTTACCCTCTACGTTGCCATTCGTATCTGAAATACCAAATAAACGAGGTTGCACAAACAGCTTAGAAATTGCACAGCCTTAAAAGTCGCACAAACAACTTTAAGAATTGCACAAACGGCCTTAAAATTTGCACAAAAAATAGCACAGACAGCCTTAGAAGTTATTTGATATCCAATATATTGATATTTAAGTCACGATGCAATTGACGAATATATATTGCGGGAAATAGGTTAGACAGAAGAATTGAAATCCTCAAGATTCAAGGAATTTCAACAGATACAAGGGTTTTTGGTGAAGTGTTAGAATGTTGTTGTCGATCAAGAGATTTTATTAAAGTTTATTCCAATATGATATATATTTTTTATACTCTTCAAGAGATTTTACTTTTATTTATATGAGTTAGTTTTACCATAGTTCAAAAACATTTTAAAATAGCACAAAAAAATCTTAATAAAATCAAAGGGTTTTTAATATAGTTAAAGATATCTTGATTAAAAGCACAAAATCTCGATATGAAGTTTTATGATAGTTCAAATAATTTTATTATAGCTCCACGCATTTTAATATCACACAAGAGATTTCAATACAATGAAAGACATTTTGACACAGGATTTCAAAATGGATTTGATATAGTTAAAAGGATTCTAATACCGTTAGAATTTAAATCAATTAGACATTAATTCACATTTTAAGATTAAAGTCAATTATTTCAGTGTCGATTCATAAAGGGGTGAAAGTGATACTAAAGAGTAAATCTAATAAATTTTATTAAAAACAAGTTCAGTCGATCTAAAGTTGAAGGTAAACTATCAAGTTGGTCATACGAAAAGTGTTTCAATTTATTTTGTATTGTATGTCTTTTTGTTGTCTTTGCATTGTGTCTCTTGTATTCTTTGTATTGTCTGTTTTGCATTGTCTTTGTTTTGTCTGTCTTGTCCTGTCTGTTCATTGTCTGTCTTGTATTCTTTGCAATGTCTGTCTTGTATTGCCTGTACATTGTCTGTCTTGTATTCTTTGTAATGTCTTGTATTTCTACTGCCTTTATAAAATATTATCACTTTGTAACCTAAGTAACACAGTCCATCTTGCAGAGAAAAATACCACCATATTTACAGTAATTCCATTTGAAACGTTTTATGATTCGAAACGTTAAAAAAATTTACACACACTCACATTTGTACCTTTGTGTGTGTGTGTGTGTAATATATATATATATATATATATTATATATATATATATATATATATATATATATATATATATATATATATATATGTGTGTGTGTGTGTGTGTGTGTGTGTGTGTGTGTGTGTGTGTGTGTGTGTAAATGTATGTATGTACTTATATACATACATACATACATACATACACACACACACACACACACACACACACACACACACACACACACACACATATATATATATATATATATATATATATATATATATATATATATATATACATATTTGAACCTAAACGTCAAGTGATTGTGTTAATATTAACATAGCCATGCTAGCAGAAATCACGGTTAAAGTATACAAAAGGACCGCACCGAATCGGAGAACTTCTAAGAATATACGGCCGGTTTGTGAATATTTATAAATACAGACATGCATATAGTCAGAAATTAATGCATATCTGTCTATATATCTGATAGATACACATTTATCTATCCATTTGCCCGGTTGATATGTATGTCTGTGCTGATAAATATGCATTTATTTCTTTATTTTTTGCATGTCAAGTATACGAATATTCTTTGGGTCGGGACTCCCACAATTTTAACAAACCGGCTGATAGTCTTGTGGAAAATTGAAAAAAAAAAAAAAATAGGCCTACATTTATTGATAACTGAGTCACGAGGTGCGAGGCAATCGACTAATATATATTGCAAGAAATGATCAGACCTTGAAATTGTAACTTCTTATAACTTTACTATGAACTTACTTACTCCATGCACTGATCGAACACGCATTATTATTAGAAATACTGGTTACATTTATACGTTGCGCGCGCACTGCCATCTACCGGTCGATTTTGTTATCACAGAACTGATTGTCCGCTTCAAATGTGAAATTGCTTGTTGTGAAGTGCTAGTTGCGAAGTTGTGTCTCAATTTCTTTATCACAGCACTGGTTATTCGCTTCAAATGTGAAGTTGCTTGTTGTGAAGTGCTAGTTGTGAAGTTGTGTCTCAATTTCTTTGTCACAGCACTGATTATTCGCTTCAAATGTGAAGTTGTTTACAGTGCTACTTGTGTCTCAATTTCTCTGTCACATCACTGATTTTTCGCTTCAGAAATGGAGTTGTTTACGGTGCTACTTGCATTTCGGAATTCTTCATCGCTATTCAAGTGAAAACCAACCATCAGTGGAATTATTACGACTGTATCCACTGAAGTTCCTCATTTCCTAACCACCCTTCGCTTCGCCAAAAGGTAAACCGAATTTGCATTCTTTTAAAGTACAGAGTATTCTAACGGTTGTAGCAGTCGGGTAGGAAGCAATGATTGGGAAGGGTCTAGGTTAATAAGGTGATTGGGAAGGGGCGGAGCTAGGCTAGTGAGAAATCGGGGGAGGGGAGGGGGAGGGGGTCCTTGGGGAAAGCTGTTCTTTGTAGGAAATTATGCCTTTAGGATGGGGCTTCATTTATTGGGGCTTTCGCTAAGGGCCGCGACGAATCTTCCGTGACTTAATATTGGCTCCGATTTTTTTTCCTATTTGTTGCTTATTTATTACTCAAAATAAAATTTTCTCGAGTTTTCCGTTATCTCTTTTTTTTACTTTACAAAATGCCCATAAACCCCATGGAATCCGCCATGGTTGTTCGTTTGAGTTGGGTGCGATCCTGTTGTAAACCTCTACCGCGCCCTAACTTTTAAAATATTTACAATACCTAAATATAAACAGTTTTGTGTAATTGTAAAACGAATCAAGTCACAACCCTCGTTCTCTCCCTCGCAAAGACGCCCTTAAACCTCCTCGTTTTGAGCCTGAACTCCCTGTAACCGTAGGCATACAGCATCGGGTTGGCCAGCGAGTTCGCCACAACGCCACAGTACAGTAGAGTGTTCAAGAGGTGCAGGAGGCACTCCCTTTTCTTTTCCTCGAGACAGTAAACCATGACGCCTACAACGAAGGGGACGTAGGTAGCTGTAAAGGAACCGATGATGAGGATTACGGTTTTGACGGCCCGGCATTTCTTGAGGAAAAGGACTTTGTCTCTCGTGTCCGTCATGACGCGATTGAAGTATTTCGTCGGGAGCCAAGTACTCCTTCGGGACGCGCTCTCTTCCGTTTTCTTTGCGTCGCCGTTTTCTTCGTCCGCCATCTTTGTTGGAGGGGATACTTCTGAAGACTCGATGCTGTCTCGTTTATCTGTTTTTTCGTCCGGTTCACGAGGTTCGGGAGAGTTTTCATTGTTCGTCGAGGAGCGTTCTTGTTCCTGTTCTTGTTCTTGATCAGTGTGGTCGATGTCGTTTTCTTCATCTTGTTCTCTGTTAGTATTTGTCTCTGCTTCGTCTTGTTCTACCGTTCCTTCGTTCACACAGTCGTCTCGTTCACTTTCGATATCATCTTCGGCGCTCTTTGGCGAAATGTATGGAATGTCTTCCTCAGTAGTATAAGGTCTACCCACTATATCCCCATCTTGTGAATCTCTCGTCTTATTTTCATCCTTATCTTTGTACAAGACTTCATTTTCCTGCCTTCCCTCCTCGGCGTTATTACCCTCCATCACAGCACTGCCTCCTCCTCCTCCTCCCTCCTTCGGCCCGCCTCCCTTCCCCTCCTCCTCCTCGGACACCGACCTGTGCGCGATCAGCTTGGCCGTCACGTCCCTCTCGGCGAAGTCTGGGAGGGTGGCCTTGTATTCCTCCAGGGCCTTCCGCCGCATCTGCCGCCGCCCGGCCTTCCTCAGGGTCCCACTCGAGGAGCTGGTCGTGGTGGTTGTCGAGATGGACTTGGTGGACTTGGTGGACTTCTTCGACATGAGAGAGAGTCTGAAGTTCGACGACCTGGCGGAGGTCCTGCCGGTGTAGGATCCCCCGTAGCGCGACTTCTGCATCTTGACCGCCAGCACGAGCAGCATCGAGTACAGCGTCACCACCACGGCGTAGGGAAAGGCCACCTGAGGGAGGAAGTACTTGCACTTAATTAAAAAGACTTGCAGTGGATTCCGGTTAGTTTAGAACATATGCATTATGTTGTCATATGTATCTCAGTATCTACACAACTGACTACCAGGTTACTTCGCATAACCACGGCAGAGAGAGAGAAAGAGAGAGAGATAGAGAGAGAGAGAGAGAGAGAGAGAGAGAAGAGAGGGGAGGAAGAGAGAGAGAGAGGAGACAGAAAGACAGAGAGAGTGAGCAAGAGAAAGGCACAGAGAGAGAGAGAGACAGACAGACAGAGCAAAAGAGAGAGAGTAAGAGAAAGAGAGAGAGCGAACCGAAATCCCCCATACCCTATCTCGACAAACAAACACAAAAAATCAAACTCACAGACGTAATGAAGAAAATAATGGAGAAGTTTGGCGATATGACTTGAGCGAAAGCACAGCGACTGCACGACTCTTCCCAGCTCATCTTCATCCCCATGGCCGGAAGCCAACCTGTGAAGAGGCGGTTGACAGGTGAAGGAACGTGAGGTTGACAGGCAAAAGGGACATGAGGTTGACAGGGAAAGGGACATGAGGTTGACAGGGAATGGGACATGAGGTTGACATTTGGCTTTCGAGTTTGATTTTGATTTTTTTCCTGCTTTTACCTTACGTTCTTCCAAAACCGTTTACAAATAATCACAAAAATACGAAAGATGATTCTAAATCTTCACAAATCTCATTTCACTCATCCATAATCTTTTAAACGTCACCTTTCACTTAAAAAACGATAAATAATCTACATACGTCTACAACTCAACCTTTGAACCAACCTATGATAAGGGACAACACCCAAGACAGCATGACAGCAGCATACACTCTGTTGGTGGTGACAATCTGGTGGTATTTGAGGCCGTGGCAGATATAAAGGTATTTGTCTACCGCTATCAGCACAATGGTGAAGATTGTCTCCTGGCAGGCCGTCACCGCAACGGCTGAAAAGGGAAATGACAACGTTAAAAAGTATGCAAGTTTAGGGTGTGTCATGGAGTGCAGGGAAATATTTTATCGATTGGGTAATCTGGTGTTAGCGTTGAGGCGGTAAGTTTGGGGTTTAATAGCATGGTTAATATTTCTTTTTCGATATCGTTTTCATGGTCATTACAACCGCTTTTTTTCAATCGATCTTCTAGCAACTACGAAGATTGTATTTCTCTTCAGTCTGACTCTCGTTATCACGTAGGGTATCAAAGTAAAATATTTCTAGCTATGAGGAACTTTTAATTGAATATCTAATTAATTTGCTTTAGATCTATAAATAATACAGCTAGATCAAATTAATCAAAACATGTATCAATTAAATCATAATGGTAAGATATAATAAACGCTTCTCTACTAACCTATTTGCAATGTACACGTTGTCTGCTGCCAAAGGTCACCTCTGCGTGTCATATGCATCAGAAAAGCAATAATCACATATAGGCCAATAGCCAGGTCACTTAGGGCGAGATTTCCTGTCAGGAGAAACAGAAATCTATAATTATAATGCTCGAAAAGTTACTAAAGACAATTTAAAGATGTCTACCCTAAATTCAGCTAATCACAGAAAACGGTTCTTGTTTAAGGGGAGTCACCTATAAAATAGAAAGCGGGTTTGTTGTCATGGCTGTGGCGCAGAATCTTGATGGTTCTGATGATGACTCCGAGGTTGACGAAGAATGTGATGAATCCCAGAACCAACATGACGACCATGAGGGGGAGGGACATCCGGCCATCGCATGTGCCTTCAAAGAGAGATGAATTCATTATATATTTAATAAAATGAAATTGAAAGTGGTGATCCAGAGAGAGAGAGAGAGAGAGAGAGAGAGAGAGAGAGAGAGAGAGAGAGAGAGAGAGAGAGAGAGAGAGAGAGAGGAGAGAGAGAGAGAGGAGAGAGAGAGAGAGAGAGAGATAGTGAGTGAGTGAGAGAGAAAGAGAGAGAGAGAGGGAGACATTTTGACAGGTTAGTGAAGATAATCATTTGGAATATAACAATGTTCTTAAGACATAAGCATTCGATAAATCATCACAGTCTCATGGAAAAAATGAAAGAAAATGAGTATAGTTGCCACTTTTCATGTCAGTTCTAACCCATTAGACACTTCAAAGGAATTATAAAATCACGGATGACTGATGCCAAATATAATTCTTTAACGAGAAAATCCGGGAAGAAGGTGATAAGGAGGAAGGAGGAAGGAGGAGGAGGAGGAAGAAGTGGAGGAAAAAAAGGAGGTGGAAGAGAAGAAAAAAGGAGGAGGCAGAGTGAGAGAGGGGGGGGGGGGGGGAGAGACAGAAAGAGAGATAGGCAAAAAGAGAAAGAGAGGGAATGAGAGAGAGATGCAGAGAGAAAGAGAGGGAATGAGAGAGAGAGATAGACAAAGAAAAGAACTAGGTAGACAA